ACAAGGAACAAGCCAGGCAAGCACTGACACAATACTTTGACACTAACAACACGCCAGACACCCCCCCCCTAACAATCTGGGAGGCACATAAATGTGTCATTAGAGGCCACTATATCAAAATATGCTCACAGCGTAAAAAAGAACGCACACAACAATTGTCCACCCTAAACGCACAAATCACCACACTAGAGCAGGCACACAAACAAAATCAGGGGGAAAACGAGTTCCACCGACTGACGGAGCTTAGGAGGCAGAGACGGGACATACTAGCCAAGGGCCTTTTGCGCACCCTTAGAAAGTCGGCTCGGCACTTCTTCGAGTACTCCAACAAGAGCAGTAGGCTTTTAGCCCGCCAGCTTCAAGACAGGAGAAGGGCGAACCACATACACAAAATTAACACTAGAGACAAGACTGTAACAAGTCTACCCGACGGAATCCAACGTGCTTTTGTGGACTACTACACCGACTTATATAATATCCCCCAGCCCACGACGGTCACCACACAGGCCCAACGCCGGGGCCAAATAACGGAGTACTTAGACCAAAATGTAGAAAGAAAATGTAGAAAGACAATTGACCCCAGAAATGATAGAGGAACTAGAACGACCCCTCACGATAGAAGAGTTAGCCGCAGCATTAAAAAATCTCCAAATCCCACAGGGCGCCTGGCCCAGATGGCCTTCCGCTGGCATACTTGCGAACATTCCGCGATGTATTATTGCCGAACCTCCTACGAGGTCTTAGCTCACTTCAAGACGGGGAACGGTTTCCCACTGACACACTAGCGGCCATAGTCACGGTGATACCTAAAGAAGGTAAAGACCCAGCGAATTGCGCTAGCTACCGCCCCATATCCCTGCTCAATGCAGACCTCAAACTGTTCGCCAAGACACTAGCCCTGCGAATCGCGAAGCACCTACCACACCTAGTGCACTCGGACCAGGTCGGGTTCATCCCAGAGAGGGAGGGAAGAGATAACACCATCAAAGCCCTAAACATACTGCAAGTAGCAAGGTCGCAACACCGGGAGCTACTCCTCCTCTCGACAGATGCCGAGAAGGCCTTCAAACGGGTGGACTGGCTGTACTTGGAGGAAACACTCACACACATGGGATTCGGCCCACGCATGCGATCATGGGTCCTTTCCCTGTACACGAGCCCGACGGCACGGATTCGGGTGAATGGTGCTCTGTCCACCCCCTTTCCCATTCGAAATGGAACCCGCCAGGGCTGCCCGCTGTCCCCCCTCCTGTTTGCCCTCTCCCTGGAACCCTTCCTGGGGGCGGTCCGACGAGATGGGGGTATCACGGGATTCACCGTCGGCCGGCGAGAATATCGAGTTGCGGCATACGCGGATGACATGTTGTTTTTCCTCACCCTTCCGCGGATATCACTTCCTAATCTTCTGGCCGCATTCCGAAGGTTTGGCTTGATATCTAACCTTAAGCTCAACACAGATAAGTCAGAAGCCCTTCACCTTCCAAGCCCCCAGGACTCCTCAACGACGCTACACACCCAATTCCGCTTCAAATGGTGCCCCACTAAATTGAAATACCTGGGTATATGGCTACCAAAAGACATGACCCAACTGTACTACCAAAACTACCACCCGCTGCTACAAAAGATCCAGGCAGACATGAGAAAATGGGCCCCACAATATATATCTTGGTTTGGACGCATTAACGCAGTCAAAATGAACCTACTACCCAGACTGCTCTATTTATTCCAGACGGTGCCGATCGCGGTCCCCGGGGCGTTCTTTAGCTCCCTGTCGACCGCCATCCGCAGATTCGTTTGGAATTCGCGCCCAACACGCATCAAGAGAACGACATTGGAACTGCCAAAACCGTTGAGTGGTACCGGCCTGCCCTCAATTGAGACATACTACCGGGCCGCACATTTACACAGGCTCACAGACTGGCACGCACAGCATCCCACAAAACAATGGGTCACGCTGGAATTGGAACAGTCGGGAGGGCACATACCCCCCACATTATGGCTACACACTGCTACGCATGCAGATCTACAAACTAAAAACCCCTTAATAGACGCCACCCTGAGGGTCTGGATGGCAACCCGATACCGTCTACAACTCACCACTTCGCCCAGCCCCCTGATCCCCCTCACACATAACCCGGACTTGGCAGATTCACTGACTCGAGGTGACCTAGCCGGACTCCAACCGACGGACTGGTCATATATACACCAATGGCTCAGCACCAACGGCCTAAAAACAATCGGAGAACTATGCCCCGACAGAACACCTACATTCCTTGAACAGTTTAGATACCGCCAAATAAAATCTTACTACTCAGCCCTGTCGGGTAAGGGGCACCTACACAGACCCTTAACTGACTTTGAAACCCTATGTGTGCAACGCACACACATCACCAGGGGAATTTCAACCCTGTACACCCTACTCACGACTCAGACGAACAGGGACGTGGAGCTTAGGTTCAAAGACCACTGGGAGAGGGATGCGGGAGAGACACTCACTGCGCACGAATGGGACAAGATTTATACCCTCACGCACAAATGCTCTATCAGCTCAAAATATCAGGAATTAAACTACAAAGTGCTAACGCGCTGGTATAGAACGCCCGACACACTGCACCGCATGCACGGTACCACGTCAGGCATGTGCTGGCGATGTGGCACACAACCTGGCACGTATCTCCACATGTGGTGGTCATGCCCAGTAATTGCCACTTTCTGGGAACAAATTAGAGGAGAGATCAACAAAATTACAGGCGCCGATATCCCCCTGGCACCCCTAACGATGCTTTTGCACCACACCCAAAGCCCACTGACAGCCTACAAAAAATCCCTGGAACTGCCGCTACTCAATGCCGCCAAATCCCTTATCCCGAGGATGTGGAAACAGCCAAGAGCGCCCACCTTGAGGCAATGGATGTCAGTGGTAGAGGACATATACTCAATGGAGACCCTGACGGCCGACCTCCACGGGAAATCGGAGCGGTGTGCATTGACCTGGTACCCATGGACCACATACGTGGCAGATGGAACTGTAACCCCCGAGCCAATATAGCTGAAACTCACAGAACACCACGTTAACTGCCTTACCCCCTCATAAGCACAGACACGCCCTACCCATTAACCACACACAGACTACGGACAGTTTTCACCCCCCCCAGACCACAACAGACATCAGGAAGACATAACACCCGCTAGAACAAACTACACAAACCACCGATACCTGGAGTACTCCAGGACGGACACCTTAAATACCCCCTACAGCTACTAGACCAGATACCGGTTCTCACCCTAAACGTAGAGTGCACATCATAAGTGCAACAAACTGCGCACTGAATGCAAGAGGAGCTAGGAGCCTTGAAACCTGATCATATGTTACACTACCTAATGCATGTGAAGGAAACTATTGAAATATTTATGATTTGAGAATGTTAGTATAAAGGCTACGAATGTTGTTATGCTATTCAGAAATATGATGTTACAACTGATGTTTCACCGTATCTACACATTTTTGTGACAAAATGATAAAAAGGAAAATAAAGATTGTCAAAAAACAACGGTATGCTACACGTGATAATATCACATCAATATATAATTATTCTTAATTCCACCTGCAGAATGGAATGTTTATAACTATATATTCTTTAGTTAACTAAGATTTCTTAATATGGAAATCTGACCGTGCTTTATCCAGTCATATATAATGCTATTAATACATTTTAATTAATTTAATTAATTAAATGAAACCAGTATAATTACCAGTTGAGTAGATATTTCATCCGATTGGTAGTCTCAGGAACTTATTTGGATGTCTCTCTGCATGGAGGTGTTGGTTAGAAAGTCAGTAAATTCTAAGTGTTAGAGTTTTAGGAGTAGAGTGTTAGTCTCAGATGTTGTCCGAGTTGGAATCCCCAAACTTCCAATTCCTCTCTCCTCTCCTTTGCATCTCTTGCATATCTTGCCTCCCCTGTCTTCCCTTTGTCTTAACTTTTAAAGGGCCAGACTCTCTGTACGTCATCAGTTGATAACCCAATAGAAGCACTAGAGGTGTGGTTATCTTCCAGATCGCAAATTAGTTATTTGGTCTATAGAGGGCAGTCTTGTCCCACTAAACATACCTATCCAGGAAAGAGTTAACTTTTCCTGGTGGCTATTTTGACGTCATTTTGCGTTATCTTTATAGTGCCATAATTTAAAATTTCAAAGGGTTTCTTAAATTTTGTCCAGACTATGTGTCTGGCAAATCTGCTATAATTTCTGATATGGCAGATCATGAACTAAGTTTACCCTTTTCCATACAATGGTACCTTATATATATAGACAGTTAAATATTATTATTTAATCTTCTCTGTCACAATTGTCTGGGTTTAGATTTGATTATATTCTTCTTATCACTTGTTTATACTATGCTATGCATTCCTTAGCTCTGGCAAAAATGGCTAGTTTTACAGATAGAAATGTTGTGTCTTTTTGTTAACTTGAAATAACAAAATGGAGTCTGGTCTGTTCAGAGTGACTCAGAATATACACTTTTAGTTTCTATCATAGCACAAGATGTCTGCCGATATAAATACCCTGACACCTACAAGACATCAACAGACGCACGTTCCCACTGACCGAGAAATTGAGGAGTATTTACAAACTATACGACTCCCTTAGTTGACCACAGACCAACAACAATCACTGCTACAGCCCATCACACTGTGACAGACCTTGACTTCTATCCAGCAACTACCTTTGGGTAAATCCCCTGGTGCAGATGGCCTTTCCAATCTGTATTATGAAATGTTTTCACATGTCCTGGCCCCTCATCTCCTTCAGGTTTATTAAAATGCGACAGAGGAAGACCATATTGTATTTTACTTCTTTTAATTTGTTATTTTAAATATTTGAATAAATTCCTGTTTTGAATTAATCCATCCGATTCCTGAGTTCCTGAAAAATCTGCAAACCATGGACCTTCAATGACCAAGATCCAGTATATTCCATTAGTGGATGAAATGCCTCTATAGTCCAGAGCCTAACTTATTTGGCTCTGGAAATTGTGAGTGTACCTTTCTCTCTTAACCACAAAATATATATGTTATAACAGTACACACTATGCTGTATTTTATATTTATATACAGGGTCCACAGCTAAGAACTGTAACTGCCAATAGGACCCATATAGTCATATTTAACAAAAGGTAAAAAATATTACTGAGTTTGTGCGCTATCACCTGTTTCTTTTTATCTTGGTTTCTATTCATAGCGTACAGAGTGGCTATACACTGAGGTGATTAAAAGCTGCACCGGTTTCTATTTTTTGAATTTAGCGCCCAGTTTACCTTCTATTGCTTGTTTTTTGTAATATTTATATATATGTATATATGTTCTTCACAAAATAATTCACACTGCTGCCACATTACAGACAATCTTTTATTTACAGGAAAAACAAAACAAAAAACAAGTGATAACATTTTAACTTTAATACCCGTTGCCTTTTCAGGTGAATATGTTTCATAAGGTATGTGTTAGTGGACTTAAAGTGCTATTGAGGTATCATATAGATTATCTATATTAAATTACCTTATAATAAAGCAACAAAACAAAAACTCTTTTTCACAATTATCTGATCATTTTTATAGTGATAGATGTAGTGTGAATTCAGAGCATTATATATGTTATACAATATTTTGTATAAAAATAAACAAGGTGTTCAAGATAAGCTTAAACTAATATGTAATCAGTGCAAGAAAAGCACTCTGGACAGGATTAGTGTTTGATAAATAGTGTTATACTGTGTTCACGAATTATATTATCCCATCATACAGACTGGCACTTTATATATACACAGGGGTGTACATATTACAAAATAAATAAATACAGAAATAAATTAACACTCTGCAATAAAGATCTATAAATGGACCAGGGCAGTCACCATGGAATCCGATAGAATGTTCTTGCTGATTGCCCCAGTTTTAGAATGTCAGGAAGTAGCAAGCTTGTACGTACAATGAGTGATCTTCACAGACGCAGTAAAACAGATGATGAAGCAGCTTTGAAATATATCAACTCCTGGCACCTTTGGGCAAAGTACGTTTTCCTCTGTGGCCAATGCTGTTGGACTGTTCATGGTCGATCGGCCAAAGCAAGCACGAGGAACTGGCCATCGCATCACGTAACACTATGCTTTCACTGGCAGCTTCAGAAAACGCATTACTGGGCCCAATAGGCATTGCAAGCATTTATGACAGGAAGCTGAGGATTCCTCAGTATTCATTTCCTGTCTTCCTTTTCCTTAAGGTGCCTACTTCATCATTGCTAGGGCTGTCACCTACCTCTGGAATCTCTCGTTCATCTTCAGAATCTACCAAGAGTTCGTTGGTGCAAACATCTCCTTGCTCACTACAGCTGTCTGAATGGAATCCAGCATTCTCTGCAATCACAGCGGGGTCATCTTCCTCATCTTCTTCCATGTAGCATGTCTCAACATTGAGGAGGGTATTCTGTG